AACTGGCTGACCAACTGCACTCAACATGTTCTTAATGGACTGCATCTGCATGGAGGGAAGTATGCAGTGGGATATCCCAAAGCTCTGTCTTAGGCCCAATATCTTCACCAGTGATTTAGACGAGGGGATAGAAGGGGAACTCATCAAATTTGCAGACAACATCAAGCTGGCAAGACTAGCCAATACTTCAAAAGATAGGCTCAAGATCCAGACAGATCTTGACAGACTTGAACACTGAACCCTATCTAACAAAATGAAATTCACTGGTGAAAAAAGTAACGTTTTACACTTAGGCAAGAAAAGCCAAATGTACAGGTACAGATTGGGTGAAACTTGTCTCAATAGCAATAACTGCAAGAGGAATCTTGGAGTCCTAATGGACAATCACATAAATATGAGCCAGCAGTGTGCAGCAGCAGCCAAAAAAGCCAATACAGTCCTTGGCTGCATTAACAGAGGGACAGAATCAAGATCATGTGAAGTAGAAACACTTTAAAATACCTTGGTAAGACCACACTTGATATATTGCCTCTAGTTTTGATTGCCATGATATAAGACTGCCTCTAGTTTTGATTGCCATGTTGAGAGTCTAGAAAGAGTGCAGAGAAGAGCAACAAAGAAGATTAGGGAACTGGAGGCTAAAATATGAAGGATGGTTGCAGGAATTGCGCATGTCTAGTTTAATTAAAAGAAGGCCTCGGAGTGACATGATAGCAGTATTACGATATTTTAGGGGCTGCCACAAGGAAGAGGGGGTCAATCTATTCTCCAAAGCACCTGAAAGCAGGACAAGAAGCAATGGATGGAAACTAACCAAGGAGAGAACCAACCTAGAACTAAGGAGAAATTTCTTGACAGAACAATTAATCAGTGGAACAACCTGCCTCCAGAAGTTGTGGGTGCTCCAACACTGGAGATTTTAAATAAGAGATTGGACAATAATTTGTCTGAAATGGTGTAGGGTTTCCTGCTTGAGCAGGGGGTTGGATTAGATGACCTCCAAGGTCCTTTCCAACTCTGTTATTCTGTTAAACACAAACAAAAACTCAATACTTAGGATTGAGCATTTTAAGTGAAGTGGTTTTTGATTTGTCAAAGCATTGAAACATTTACTATAATATAGGTAGTCCTACGACCACAATTGAGTCCAAACTTTCTGTTGCTAAGATATTAAGTAGCTCTTGTCCCATTTTACGACCTTTTTCGCCACAGTGAATCACTGCATTTAAGTGAATCTTTGCTGGTCAAAAGCCAGCTGGAAAGGTTACAAATGGTGATCACATGACCCCAGGACAATTCAACTATCATAAATATATGCCAGTTGCCACATGTGTGAATTTTGATCATGTGACCATGGGGATGCTGCAGTGTGAAAACTGGTCATGTCACTTTTTTCAGTGTTGTAACTTCAAACTGTCACTAAATGAAGGGTTTTAGATTGAGGACTACCTGTAATTGCAGAACCTTAGTAATTATCTGTTCATAGACAAATGAACATTCTTCTTTATTTTAAATAAAATGAAAGAATTACAATGAGACTAAAAATAATAAAACAAACACAGAATATTCTTTTAGTTAAGAGGAAAATGAATATATCTGTATATGCTGTAATGTAAAAAAAACTAACTGAAAACGAAACAAAAAAGCAATATGAGAGCAGTAAAGAAACTTGTTCGGATTAGAAAAAGTAAATCAGTGAACATGACATTTTTTTCTCTTTCAGGAAGTATGTTTTCTCTTCCTTTAACCCTTGCAGCAGCCTTGTGAGGGAAGTCAGCTTGAGTGTGTGTGATCAAAACAAAGTTAGCTAGAAAATATTTGAACTTGGCTATGTAGTCTTAATGTGAAATATATCCATTAAAGCAATGACTTTTATAGATTTTAAATCTCACCAAGCACGTTAAGAAAGAAATAACTGCATTTTTATGTTTCTGCTTTTGTGCCTGCAGTTTTAACTTTGCTGAGGAAGAGAAGGAGAAGCTTTGTGTGCTGCTAGGTTTGTGCTGACTGCTGCAGGGCTAGTAGAAAAAGTTTTCTTTGTTAATATAAGAAAAAAAAATCTGCAATCCAAAATAACATTCATGGAATATTTGACTTTAGGCCGTTAAGAATAATTTGTGAGTAGTCAGCTGAGACAACATACTGTCTTAAAATTACCTACCAAAAAAATCTACATTTTCAGATCAGTTGATTTGCTGACAGTGGTATTTATTCATTCATTCTGTTCAAAAACATAAAGTCAAAAGTTTGCATTTTCCATTTTCCATACATAGAGACAGACTATAGATGCTGGTGCCATGTCTTTAATTGCTTCTTTATTTCATGATTCTTTCCTTCTCAATGCTTCATTAAACTTGAAGCTACACTAATTGGATCACAGTGTGCTCCACAAATCAGGTTTCCAAGATATAGTTTTATAAAACTTTAATCGGCCCTTAACAGCCCTGAAAGTTCAAATGACATGCATTGCACTACCGTTAGTATTGTTGTCTAGTTGCAGTGTCTTAAGAAGCTCCATGGAGTAGGAGTGCCCAGGGAAACATTTTCAATGAGTATGCAATATCTTATTTTTCCAGAAGCCCTTCAAGGATAGAAGTAATGTAGGATACACGTTAACTTGCATTGCATATTGTTTAAGAGCAATCTTAATTGTCTGTCCTTTAATCTGGCTCCTTTTTTGCCATTAATTCTTAACATTTGAAAGTCATGGAGGAACAGGTAGTGCTTAGATAAGTTAAAGTGCAGGCTGTGTTTATCTCAAATGTAGGTGTAGCCATGAGCACAACTTGGCCTACCAGCTATTGCTGCATTATTTTTTAAATATTTTATTTATCATATATGCCACCCATCTCATAGAAACATACTCTTAGTGGCATACAATAAAAACATTAAAGAGAGTAATTACAAAAACACACTACAATTAAAACTTTATTATAAAAAGCAGAAGAGTAGGGAGAGCATTACTGTAGTTGTTACACATGATATAGCCACCTCATTAAATCTGCATTCTTGTAAGACCCCCAAGCCTATTGACATAGCCAAGTTTTAAGGCACTTCTGGAAGCTGGAAGGACATCAAGGATGGGGCCAGTCTCACCCATCAAAGCCTGCTGCGCTACATCCAGATCCCCACAGCTTCTAGGTCCTAGAGTAGGAAAAAAACCTATAAAAACTTTATACAAATAGTCCTTGGTTAATGACCATTGTTCAGCAACTGTTTGAGGTTATGATGGTCCTGAACAAATGGTTCTTAAATCCAATCCTTGAAGTTCCAAACATCCCAGCACCCTCTTGGTCACGTGATTATAATCTGGGTGCTTAACAGTTGGCTCCCACAACTGCATTACATGATCACCATTTGCAATCTTTGCTGTTGGCTTCTTATAAACAAAGTCAGTGGGGAAGCTGGCAGGGAAGGTTATAAGTCACTCTGGTAAGTCTCCCCCACCTGGCATAGATATTCTCAGACCAGTTGCTTTCGTTCTGTGCCTCAATGGCCACTCGCATGCTCTCCCTGACCCAGCAGCAGCCACCTCTGCCATGCCTTGCCAGCCATCTGTACATCCTCCCTCACTTAGCAGCAGCTACTTCTCAGTCCAGAGGCTTGCTTGTGAGCCATCTGGGACTTGCAACTTCCTGCTGTCTTCTCCGACTCTGTGGGAAGCCAGTAGGAAGTTGCAAGGTGGTCTTCACTTAATGATCCATGATCCTAATTTTACAGGACAGGATGGCCGGAATTGCCATCACTAAGCAATATGGTCATGTCATGACACACTTTTTGACCGCATTGCTTAATGATGGAAATTCTGATCGCCATTATCCTCATTAAGAAGGACCAGCTTGCTTAATTTAGAAATGATCTGCCATTCCTTTATCTTGATGTGCTCAATATTGATAGCCAAATCTGACCTTAGGTTCTAACTCAGTTTACCTTTCCAATAAGTAACCTAGTCGGAAGATCATTTAAAAGCAGTTTATTGGGGTACCCTTATAAAGTGGGATTTCTGTATGAAAAAGGAGAGAGAGAACTTTGAACCCCATGTTACCTTCCTTTTTATAGTTAACACAACAAAGAAAATGGAAGAGGAAAGTTGATTGGACAGGATAAAAGTAACCCCCCTTTGCATAGGAAGTCAGTTGCATGTAGTCAAACATGTTACATATTTGCATCCCATAATATCACATGTTCATTAAAATAAGGTCTGACATCAGAAGGGACGTAAATTGTAAGGAAAAAGATTGTTTGGAGTTCACAAAAGAGATAAACCAAACCCCAATTTGTACTAAGAAACTTTTTCTTATCTGGAGATAAGTTTAGGAATGTTAAAAGCTATTCCGCATTCCAGTCTGTAATGTGCCTGAACATTATTTTAAAAGAAAGAAAATAAGTCAACTTAAACTACAAAATATGAAGTAAAATATAAAGTAACTATGTTAGCTAGCAAGTTACAAAGTCCATGTCATGTGCCCCTCAGTATGTAGTATGTTAGGCCTTCTACCCTTTGTTAGGCAAAATTTAGTTTATTCAGATACATATTCATGTTTTGTAGGATTGTATCGAGATTGGTAGCCAAGGGCTCCACTTAAGATTTATTGAAATGGTCAAGTACTGCAAAATGGGAGGCCTGCATCATTCAGTGGATAAGAATGGCTGAAAGACTAAATAGGACTATTTTTGGACTTTGGATTTCCCCCCCAACTACTGCACTCTTGGTGTTCACAAATCCTGACAATAATGGTTATTACCATTGGACTGCAAGTTGCCCACCTTGGGCTATATAATAAGTGAATTAGTCTTACATGGAAAATTGGTCACTTAACTCTAAGGATCACTAAGTTAGAACTATAAACACACAGTGGTTTCGGCTGTATAGGGATCCTATTCTTGAAATTAAAGGGAATTGGTTGTGCTGCCCACTGGATAGCCCTATCCTTAATTCTATCTAACGTATTCATTATTCCCAATTTCCTACCACATTTTTATTTATCATTAGGTATAGCATGCCAGAAACTCTCATGGCCCAGGATCCTACAAAGCTGCAAGCAGAGGTGGATCGACTAGCAGCTGAGCTGCAGGAGGCAATCCAAGAGAATGTCCAGGCAGCCCAATATGGGCTGGCTGTGCTGGAGGAGAATGAGGAGCTCAAGCAGCGCTGTGGAGATCTAGAAGGTCAGCTAGAGGTCCTGCGTGTAGAATTGGCCCACATGAAGGAGGTACGTGGAACAATTTTCCAGCTCTGCCTTTGACCCTTTAGGACAGACATGTCAAACACAAGGCCCGGGGGCCGGATGCGGCCCACGAAGTGGTTTCATGTGGCCCATGAAGCCATCCTGGAAACAGTGAGGGAACAGCCCCCTCTGCCTTGGCCCTGGTCCAGGCCAGCCGGGAGCCAATGTACAATTTTATGGTGGCCATCTATGCTGAAACGCATTCAATCTTAGCTCCATAAGCCAGCCCCCCCCCCCCCCCGCATGGCCTGAGAGGAACAGTGAGGCTCCTCCAGTGGACCATGCCTTGGCACTTGCCCTGGTCCCACCCCCTTCTGCCAGAGACCCTCAGATCTGTCCCACTCCTGCCCAGGCCCCCACAGGCACCCTTGACGCGAATGATGTAGAGCTGGCCACACCCACCCAGTAGGCCACACCCACTCCATCCACGCCCACCCAGTAGGCTGCACCCACCCTGGCCACACCCACCTGGCCCCCTGAGGGCAACCGCAATGCTGATGCGGCCCTCAATGAAATTGAGTTTGACACCCCTGCTTTAGGATGACCTAGCTTGGGCAGTGAGGATGCTGTTTCTTAGAATGTCTTCCATCTTCTTTGCCTTAGGCTTTGGCAGAATCTCATAGCAGTCATAAACGAGCAGCAGTTGATGGGGAGAACCGGGAAGAGTCTCTACTCAGGGAATCAGCTTCCAAAGAGGCCCATCTGACTCAAACCATTGAGGAGCTTCAAAGTGATGTGAAATTCCTGAAATCCCAGCTTGACAATACAGGGGCGGAAAATGAGCGGCTCAGCGTAGCTCTGCGAGACTTAAGGAAGGTAATTTGGGCAACTCCTGATTTAGGAGAGAGATGCTTGGAAGCCTCGGAATAAAGTAAATTATATAAAGTAATTGTATTCATATTAAGCAAATGGCTATGTTCTGGTACTCTTAGCCAGGAAGAAAGAGATTGCAACACAACTTTGAAAGTAGTATAGCTGAGGATCTCGTTACTGCACAGCTGGTTCAGTTTTTATTTGTCTTGAAATTTGACCAGTTACTGTCCATGTGCTTTAGAATTTCTGCTGCCGTAAGACTTGGAGAGTTTACTTTTCATGTTTAAACCGGACCTTAATTGCTACACTTGGGTTTCCAGAATTTATAAATATACTAGTGTAATGTCCTGCTTATTTAGGAAAAAGTCACAAAACCATCTCTCCCCACTCCTTTTCAGACTTAAAGCTGGGAAACAGGGTGTGGGAAATAATCCAAGCATTTAAACTTTCACTTGAGAGATCCTTTGAAGAACAGAAAAAAATGTAACAATCTTCCTACCGAAAACACCTCTGGAAGGAGGCCATGTTACTTTAGTCTGACATCCCAAGTGTCTGAAATATATTTTATCCATAAAATTGTACTGTGGTTTCCATCTGCTTGACTCAGAATAGTGGTGGGTGGTGATTCTGGAGGTACTTCTGATGTCTCAAAAGTGCAATGCAGCAGACTATTTCTGGCTGTTTTTCAGTCTTGGAACTGGAGTTCTGTATCCACTGCCGAATTTCTGAGACATTCAAAAGATCTGTGCAGCCACAAGTTGGCGATAAGCATTTGACTTTCTGTAAAGAAATTAATATTCATGTGACTACTAAATTCTTTCTTGAGAGTTAATGCAGCAATAACTCTATTCTGTGAAGGGAGGTGTTAACTTTTCCTATCATATTAACATATACTCTTTCTGTTGCATTCCCTTCCTTAGGAAATAACACTTTTTGCCCCTTTTCAGAGACCAATCAAGTGTGCTGCTGTATTTGCTGCTTTTACCCCTTTCTTTTGCATGCTTCTCATGTAAAGAACAAGGCTTCCCAGTGGTAGACTATGTATAGTTAGGTCCAGTTTAGAATGCTGGATCGCAAATTCCAAGGGTAACCGTCAAAACTTATTTTTAGGGGACTTCCGGTGGTGACAGGCTGCATCGCATGGCGGCTTTTGTTAGCCGCCCGCCTGGGAGCGCGTCAAAGCCTGAAGAGACAGCGTTCGTTAGCTGTCTCTCGGCTCGGAACCTCATCCCTCGGGCAAAGGGGGGGGTGAGTAAGTCCGGATACGGCTCGAGCTTCCTCTCACCCCGGTTTTGTTATAATCGGGGTTGAGAGATGCTAGCTCGCCCGGAGTCTGGACGGTCTCCGCGCCCTATGGCACCTTCGCTCCTCTTTTGGAGCGAAGCCAGATGCAGCTCCCACCTCTGCTGTTGGAAGGTATTTGGACTTAAATCTTAAGCAGACGGAACTAAACAGGAGGTTCGGATTTACAGTGGATTGTTTCTGACTTTGACTCTGAAATATACTAACATCTTCTTTATTTTGTGGTGATTTAAAGTGAGAGAAAATGGCTGCGGACTTGCCGTTTCTCTGGAATACTTTCGTTGTTTTTTTTTTTACTTTCACTTTTTTTTGGTTACTGACTGGAAAGAGATACATTGTTACTTCTCTGGCTCTGGAAAGTTTTAGCTGCAATGAATTTGTGGTGTATACTGGCTGGTGATATTAATACTGCTATCCTTTTGGATTAATGAAGTATATTTAAAGAAATTTGGAAGTTTTAAAATGGCTGCGGATCTGAGGGGAAAAAAAAGAGCGAGAAAGAATTTTTTCTTTTTGGTTGCTGAGTGGATCTCATTGAAAATGTCTTTACTTTTCATTATGAATGACCTACAGAATGTTTTGATGCAAGCAGTCAAGCAATACAGTGTGGAAGTTAAAAATCTATGTCTTAAGAGATTGGAAGAATTATATGGAACTGTGGCATCTGCTCTCCAGAAGTTTATAGTTTCAGATTTCATTGAGC